AGACTCTACTCAGGCACATTGCGCGACGGCATCATGGAAGAGAGCTCTCAGGAGGTAAAGCCCGTTGGTGTGGCGGTAGAAGAGAGCTAGATCGCCGGTGCGAGAGGGTCCCGAGACTGTTAGAGAAGAGTCATCGATCAGTCGGACAGCCCTCCTCTAGTCAGCATCGAGCATAAATGATGTAGTCGGGGCGGCGGCAGCACCCCAAACGTGTGAGCAATACTCGAGGATAGGCCTTATCTGGGCCTTGTATAGAGTGAGAAGGTCATGCGGAGAAAAGTACTTCTTAGCCCTAAACAAATAGCCTAGCTTTTTTCCAGCAGCTTCCACTATTGACGAAATGTGTTCGTGCCAGATCAGGTCCTCGGTGATCTGGACTCCGACCAGCCGAAATGAATGGCTCTTTGGCAGAACTCGACCATCCATCGAAACCGGGTGAGCGCAGGGACGCTTTTTGTTCGTCAAAGTACAGTGCTGCGTTTTGGAAGCATTGAACTGTACAAGATTGTTGCGTCCCCAAGCAGTGGTAGCCTCCAGGTCTCTTGTCAGAGAGGAAGTCATCGCTAGTCTTCTTTTTTCCAACTCGGCGGCAGAGATCGGCTGGTCACTGAATCCCTGCATGTACAGTGCTGTCATCAGCGAAGATGTGGATTGGGTTGATCGTGCAGGAAAGGAGGTCGTTGATATGTAAGAGAAACAGAGTCGGAGCCAAGACCGATCCCTGGGGAACACCCGCGTTGACGTTGTGGGATGAAGAGGAGAACCCGTCAATTACGACGGATATCTCGCGGCCAGAGATAAAGTCAGCCACCCATCTGCAAAGCTTTTCTGGGAGGCCATAGGATGAAAGTTTGCTTAAGAGGGCAGCGTGCCACAGCTGATCGAACGCTTTCGTGATGTCAAGAGCAACGACATGAGCCTCACCATAAGACTGGATGAGTTTACTCCACAATTGAGTGACGTAAGCTAGGAGGTCCCCTGTGGATCGCTGGTGCCGGAAACCATACTGCTTGTCGCTAATCAAGCCGTGACGTTCGAGGTAGTCCAGAAGCTCGCGATTTATGCACCTCTCCATCACCTTATGTAAAGCTAGAGCTATAGGCCTGTAGTTGTAAGGGTCGGTCTTAGATCCCTTTTTTGGGATGGGTTGGACATGAGCAAATTTCCAGTTTTCTGGGAAGGTGCCGGATTCATAAGATATCTGGAAGAGACGCGAAAGACTTGGAGCAAGCTCCGGTGCACACCTCTTCAGTACAATGGCAGGAATCAAGTCAAGAGCACTCGTCTTACGGTCTTATGCCTGAATGTTACCTCCCGCATAGTGTACGGAACCCTTTGAATTGACGACACTTGGACGTTGGGGGGGACGTCCATGGTGGAGTTGGCAGCAAAGGTCTTGGCTAGCACTTCCGCCTTGGCCTTGAGTTGAATACAATAGTTCCATCCTGACAGCGTCAGCTTGTCTGTTCTCTACAGTGGGGTTTTGCAAGAAGGTTCTGTGCGCTTTGATCTTCTGAGCAGCGTCACGATTTGTTAAACCAGCCGTTGGACCCTGGTCTAGGCACTTTCACTGTGTGAGGGATGTATTCCTCCATTCCGACGTGGATAATTTCTCTTATCGAAGAACAGACAGCCGACGCATCCGCGTCAGTGAAACATACATCTTTCCAAGGAAAGCTAGAGAAGAAATCTCTGAGCCCCTCCCAGTCGGCATGTCCGTAATGCCAAGTTTTGCGGCCTGTACGAGTTTCTGCTGCCACAGCGGGTTCTGACCGAAACCTAACCTCCACAACACCGTGGTCTGAGTTACCCAGGGGGGACAGGACAGCAGTGCTGTAAGGGGCAGGATGCGTGGTCAGAAAGAGATCCAGCAGACTACTGGCATGTGAGACGCGGGGAAAAAAGTAGGACTCGTCACCAGCTGAGTCAGCCCTTGGGTAAGAGCGAACGCTTCGAATGCACGACCTGCTGCGTCGGTCTTGTTTGAGCCTAACGAAAGCTCGTTATGGGCATTGAAATCACCGATAAGAACTACCTCTGAAGCGGGATATTTGATGAAATTCCCTCAGACCCAATTTCAAAATAGAATTTTGACATATTCTGGATATCTGCTGTTTAACCTAGCCATTTAGTAGCTGGGGAAGTATCGCCTGCAAATCATGAGTGGCGCTATTATGTATGTATCGAAGAAAGAGACTAAACCAAAACAGTGATCATCGGGTGATCAGCACACTGATATATTTCAAGAGAGAGGGAGCATAACTGTTATTGGGCAGAATAGATCGAGCCCTTACACCGAACCAATGGCAAACCGGAGGGTGGCCGGCCGTTAATGCTATATATATATTTATACAGTACAGAGTTGGGATCAGATTTATACCGGTATAACTGTGTGCTTATTAGATTTGTCAGTTTAATTTCGTAGAACTAAAAATTTCTGATACGGTTACAGCTGATGAAGTTGTTGATATTAGCTGCACACCGCCTAAAAAAGAGCTAAAAGGCTTCATTTTAGCGTTAGCGAAAAACAAATGATTCTCAACATTTATAATCACGAAATGCAAGGCAGGAGTGACTCAAGTGTTCAGGAGATTGTTTGCAAAGTAGCAAGTATTTCGGACGTTAGTCGTGCAAGTGTTTACCGAATTGGTCGGGAGTACAGATCTAACCATTCACTGGTAGACCCAAAAAACTATCCGCCAAGAAAAAAATCAACGATGCCATAGATGACTTCGACAGAACCGCAATAAGGAGAATTGTACATAATTTTTTCTTTTGTAATGAATCACCAACGGTGGATAAAGTGCTGAAAATGGTTAAGTAGGATAATAACTTGCCAAGTTTCAAGAGATTTGCCTTCCTTAAATTATTAAAAGAAATGGAGTTCCAATACAAAAAGCGGGGAAGATACAGTCTTTTATTGGAAAAAGACGAAATAGTTATCTGGAGAAGGAACTATCTAAGACAAATGAGAAAATTTCGTGCAGAAGGTAGCAAAATATACTACCTGGATCAAAACACGGGTCAACGCAGGACGACACAGGCGAAGGTTTGGATGCATTCTTCCATAAAATCTTCAAAGCAAGCGTTCTTGAATGGACTATCCACTGGATTAAAAAATCCCTCTGATAATATTTCAAAGCACATACGTACGTATTTCTGGTATGACTGCGCAGACTGACACCTACATATTTTTTAATACTTGGTAAGTCGAACAATTTCAACTAAAATCATATTTTATTTTTGTTTTTGTACATGCTTAAACTATGGGTTGGGTTTTTAATAATGCTTTCAATTGGAGCGGTTTTAAAGTGTTCAAAATGGATTATTTTCAGGAAAAGAGAAGCGATTGATAATTTGTCACAATGGTAATGAAGATGGATTTGTGTCCGATGCTTTATGCATTTGAATCAAAAAAAAAACGAGATACTTCCATGAAGAAATGGATAGAGCCTCGTTCGAAAATTGGTTCTCAAATACTCTACCGAAGTTTGAAGACAATTCGGTTATAGTATTAGATAATGATTCATACCATATGAGAAAATTAGAGAAAGTTCCAACAACGTCAACAAAAAAAAAAACAGAAAGTCAAGGATGGCTTAAAAATAAAAAGATTGGTTATGATGATACAATGGTTAAGGCAGAATTGTTGCAAAATGTCAAGGCGCACAAAAATAAGTATAACCCGAACATAATTGATGAAATGGCCAAAAAACAAAATAAAACTGTTTTACGGTTGCCTCCTTACCATTGTGAGCTCAATCCGATTGACCTCATTTGGGCAGACAGATGTTGCAGCAGAAAACAAAACTTTTAAATTTTCTTACCTTAAAAATATTTTTCATGACGCTATACAAAGAATAACACCGAATAAGTAGGAAAAATGTATTCAACATGCAAAAGAAAAGGTCGAACCTAAAATGTGGGAATTAGACGGTATCATTGATACGCACGTTGCCCCTTTAATCATACAGTAATGGACAAAAGTATATAGACAAATATGAACGAATTCATACTTCATTGCTCCATAAACAAATGCGTTATTAGTAGAAAAACTAAATTCCTTGTTTTTACATTATCTGCAGTGAACACAATACAGGTCTGAATATAAGCACTTTTTTATGAGGGACAAAAATATGTAGAGAAATTCTTTTCAACATTAGTTTAGTACAGTTTCGTGTCAGAAGAGGATTAGTTTGTGTTCATCAAGTATTGTGGAATAAGTTGAGTGATTTTAAGACCATGCTGCGTGGCCCAGAAATTTCTTTCGATGTGAAAACTAAGATCATTGAGTTATACAAAGATGGTCAACGTCAAGTCGACATTGCCAAAAATTTGAAGCTGTAGCGTAAAGCAGTTTGAGCAATATTGAACAAATATAAGCAAAAAGGTATCTTGGAAGCCTCTAAGAGAAGTGGTCGGCCTAGAAAACTAAATGCTAGAGCAGTTAGATTAATAAAAGTAATTTCGTCCAAAGGTTCTTTTAAAACCCCAAGACAAATAAAAGCCGAAATCGAGACAAAAGGAATTGTCAGTGTTTCTACGAAAACTATAAGTAGAAGATTAAATGATTTGAAGTTATTTGCACGTCGCCCGAGTAAGAAGCCGCTAATCTGAGGAAAAACCGATTACAATTTGCACGGTTGCATCTTGATTGGAGCATCTGTCACTGGAAGGGGGTATGTTTCAGTGACGAATCCAAGTTCAATATGTTTGTATCAGATGGTGTTCATTACGTTAGACGTCCTAGTGGACAGAGATTGTACCTCAAGTACACTTTGCCCACTGTCAAACATGGAGGCAGGTCTGTTATGGTTTGGGTGTGCTTTCCGGGGTTTGGGATGGGACCTTTACATAGAATAGCTGGCATTACGAATAAGTTTGTATAGACATACTAAAGCATATCATGTTACCCTATATGGAAGACAATATGCCCTTAAGATCAATCTTCCAGCAAGAAAATGACCCGAAGCTCAGTTCAAATCTCGCAAAGAAATTCTTTCTCGATGAAAAAATACCAGTTCTCAAATGGCCTTCACAGTCTCTTGATATAAACCCCATTGAAAATCTTTGGGAATACTTAGATAAGCAAATACGAGATAAATATTATTCAAACAAGGATGAACTTTTTGCCGCTTTAGAGCAAAAGTGGAGACAGATTGATGAATCTTATATGAAGAAACTTCTACAATCTATGCCCAGACGATGCCAGGCGGTGATTGATTATAATGGTTATGCTACAAAATATTAACACACATTAACATGGTTGGTTTTCTATAATTCAATGAACTTTGCTCCTTCTTTCTATAATTGTTGTCTATATATTTTTGTCCTTCATAGTTCCAGTTTTTTTCAATTAATTTTTTATTGAAGGGAGTCTAATGAATTTATTTATGTATAAGTGAGTGTTATGCTATAACAAATTATGTATACAGTTTGGTTATTAATAAAACAAGTTGAAAAAGAAATACAGCACAATATTAATTTGTCTATATACTTTTGTCCACTACTGTAAATCTTGATGACAGTGAGAGTTCCACGGCCTCAGATCTAGAATGATTTTTATTTTCAAATATATGTATTTCCGATTTCACAGGTAAAATGTTTGTGCAATAAATTAGTGTATACTACGTAGTATATTGATTGCCAGGCCCAGTAGCTTGTGTCCGTTATAATTATTCTGCGACTTGTTAATCTTAGGCAGTCTCACCACCATCAGAGACATAAGAATGCCGCCGTTACGTTTCAGGCGAATTATGTGGTGAGGGAAGTAGCCCTTCTGCTCCAACTCCTTCTTGACCTCTTGTTCTCTAAACGACGCGGGTGTGCCTCTTATTATGGCGCGTATATTTCTTTCAGAAGGAAGAGGATATGTGTGGTGAGGTACCTCTTCCTCTTTGAAAAGAGGAATTCCTTTCTTATAGTCTTCTTCTGTTTTAGCTATAATGCGAATCCCCGCGATAAAGGCGACCACTCGCTCTACTTTAATGCCCAGACTTATAAATTTGTAGCTTAGCATCCGCCACCTCGCAGCACCCGCAGGACAATCGGTGTGACTCGCGCTTGACGCGGTGCCCCGATGTCTCACTGGCAGCAGTACACGGTGATTCAGGCAAAGCAGTAGCAACGTTAGCTTGAGAGGTTGGTTTAATAGTGAAAGATGGCACAGAGTTGTTGGTTGTTGGCTTGGTAGTTGTCTTAGATGACAGTGGAGGGAATTGGTCAGTTGCGTTTGTGAATCCGTCTTTGTTGGTACTTTCGTCGTCAGTTGAGATAAGATTTGTGGCTGTCAGACTGTCGTACGTCCGTTTATTGGAAGTTGTGTTGTCGTCTTTAGAAAATAAAGAAGAATTTTGGGAAACTAGTAGAGATACCTGGGTTGTTAGCTGTTCTGTCATGCAGTGCGGTTATTGGGGTTACTTGGTTCTCGATAATCTCCATAATGCTGAATTTAGGTATCTTTTTTCGCTTTTTTCTAATTTGGAATCAGTTCTGTTTGGGGCATTAGCTGGATCTCCTGTGGACCCGTCGGAGTAGTATTCCATTTTTAATATCTGGCTTTTTCTCGACTTCATATGAAAATCTATCTAGCGCAAAAAAATTGACTTTGTCTCAAGTTTCCTATACAGGGCGATTGTTAAAACATCCTATTAAATATAATAACTAAAAAATCTACCTATAATTTCTCTCATTTTGACTGGTCCATTCAAATAAGACCCCCCTCTTTTGTGAACTGATAGAAATTGGCAATTCGATGAACGTTATCCTAATTTTAAAGCTCAAAGACATGGTATTACATCCAGAATGCACCTTTATTTAGAAAACAACCACTTTTTTACGATTTTATTCAATATTTCAATAGAAATTATTGATATTACTAAAGCTTTGATAGCTTCCGTCAAATTGCATTTGAATAGGCTGATCTAATAGTTCGAAGACCACGTAATTTTAATGTTGGTGAAATCCACCCTTAGTGTTTGCAGGATATTTAAAAAATAAAACTTTTGAAAACACTGCAAATGCACTAACGAACGGTATTTCACTCACAAAAATTGTCTATTTGCACAACTGGTTTTAGATGTGCATTAATTACTTGTAAAAGTAAATCAATTTTGTGAATAGTGCAAATCACTTTATCGGGTATCAAACTTCTGTCATTAGCAAATTTCCTTCAATTAATGTTTATTGCAGTAGGAAAAAGGAAAGCTCTGCCGACAAAAACTAGTCCAGTGATGGATCAGAAGAAAGCCAAGGTCTTGGCTAGGATTGGTAGGAAGACAGCCATTCCAGTCGCATCTACCAGCAAAGCTTCAACATCAATGACAAAAGCAAAAGGTATGTCATTCTGATTATACTTTAAATGTTTCGGTTTACCAATTATCAAAACATTTATAATTTCTCATACTGGAATTATTTGCCCACTATCGCCTTTCACCAGTAGCTATGTGCATAGTGGGGGAAACTAAATCGATCGTCGGATAATAACGGAAACATCAATGGATTGATATTGGAATATAGGTAACATATGGTGAAATCTGTGTCATGGAGCTCAACTGTGGCCTGGCAAATGTCTAAATATTTCACTGTCATTTGTTAGATCTACGAAGACTCGTAGAGTGGGGGTGCAGTAAAAAATGACGACCATGAAGTAGGCTAGCACACTGCGCAGGAAATGAATTTTAACTGCTGCGCATAGGATATCTCCCTCTGATGCTGTCGTCATGGCTGTAAATAACTTCAATTTTGACAGTTCGGACGAGTGTGACGATAAAGATTGCGGCAGGTTATGTTGACAGTGTTCAATCGCAGACGCTCTACGCCCAGTAGATTTCCGAGAGCCACATACACCATCCTTGGCGACAGGATTGGCTTCATATGAATACTGCATTCCTTACGTAGTTTGACCTCTTACATCTAGTCTTCGTGGTTAGATCTAAAGATAATTGTCAATTTGAAATTCAAACTGTTCCTAACCTCATATCGACTAAATGTTATTGCCATTACTATTCATGTGCCAACAAATTTCACTTCGATATTCCCTAGCCACTAGGTGGTGCTTGGCACTATTATACAGTTTGTAAATTCATTCCGTGTACTGTCCTGTCACGAGGCGCAAGATTTAAACGTCCAGGAAAACGATCTGAACGGTATCCTGGTTCTTTAGCTTGATAGCGACTTGTCAAAGCGTTAAGCATTTGGTTGGCAACAGTGCTTTTTACAATGTTACCAACATATTCTCCGTTGAGACAGACGGCTGGCTGTGAGTTACAGTATGATTCCTGCTTCCTTCAACTGGTCAGGTTCTAGAAAAATGTTACAGCCATACAGCTAGGTATAAGTATGTATCTGTATGTGTATAACAATTAATTTACATATTCTACCTGAAGATAGCCAATCTAATGCTCTATTCCCGCGTATGTATCGGCCGATATGACTGCTCATATGCCCATATAGGCAGGCCGATATAAATTAATCCAAATAGCGTTCAATATCATCGAATTAAAAAATACATAGAAATACATTTATTTTCTTTAATTGCAGTATGTTTGTTGCATTTCTATAAAAAAAAAAGAAAGTGAACCGCCATTATCAGTCTTAGATTTTAGGCAAAATGTTGAAAACAAATAAATAAATAGAAAACTAAACATGGAAAATACTATACAAATAGGAGCTATTGAAAATGTGGTTAATAACATTTAACGTTTAATTTAAGCAGATTATGTTGTAAGAATGATAACGCTTTTGCCCCGTCACGAGTTAACCTGCTTCATTTAGAAATGTAAATGTTGATTACTCACTAGCTCACAGGACTCCGAACTGTGAACACTTTCTGAAGATGTCAACCACTCGTGCTGGCGAAATGTCAAATAAAAATATTTTACGACGGCCTAACTACCCAAAAACCGACCAAATAAATGTTGCCTGTCTCAGAAGAAACTTGTTCACTGGGTGCACTTGGCAGGTCCATAGACCTGTATGGTTCATCTTTTGTTACATCAAAAACAATTTATTATCTAGAAATCCACACGAAATGTAAACAAACAGGACATCCTGCATTCCTGGGACTTAAAATATCGATACTTGTGAATTTATCCGCATTCACTTATTATTCATCGTCTAGAGTCTAGATATTGTTAGAATCAAAAATAGCTATTTACGAAAATATTTTCAGAACTTGTTGTTACATCTCATTTTTATTTGATCTGGGACACGTCTGGATTCTTAACTGCTTTTGAAGTGTTCTGCAGTGTTGCCGGCCGAAAAAAAAAACGGTAAATAGTGTCGTTGAATTGGGCAGGAGGCAAATTTGGGCCGTCGCAAAATCAGTGGTGGATCAAGGGCCTTTGTCACGCAGCGCTGTCTATGAAAAAAGTTTATTATTGTATTGAGCGCTCACATAATATATGTTTTTTGAGGGCATAGGTCTGTATTACAACTTGTACAATTTGCATACTGGTCGCTCTTTCAAACTACTTTGCAACCATCCTTCTTTTAATAATATAGGATTAGGAATATTTTCTGTTTTACCCCTGAATCCATGAAGTTTCATAACCTCACAATTAAATATTTATTTTAAAAACAGGTTTCAGTATCCTTATCGCTTGTTCGGCAATGACTGTGATCTACCAGTCTGTACCTTTTGTACGCATAAAAATCAATTCAAGTCAAGCGGAGTAAGGAATGAGGATGTACGTTCGTAATCATAGGCAACCCAAATCTACGCCCCTCGTGTGCCCGACTGCCTGAGCGTGTATGGAAATGTATGGTTCTTATGGGACATAAAACTGCAGAGACTTCATAAAATTCACTTTTAGCTTCAATTTGGGTTTCAGATCTTTTTCGGTAAAAAACTGTAAATATTTGAATTATTTTGAAAAATCGTGGTAAATGATGTACGATTTACTTACATTTTTCGAAATTCTCACTATTTAGAATTATCTGAGTAAAGTTCAGAACTAATTCGGGGAATCGAACCTCTATCAATTCGGTAATATTATACAGGGTGTCCAATAAGTACCACGACAAACTTAAGCAGAAGGTAGGCTTTGGACTGACCTCCCAAATAACAAAAACTTACCTATATAAAAGTGTAACCGTTTTTGATATATTGATTTTTTCTCAAATTTAAAAAAAAATGACTTTTTCATCTGTAGTCTTTAGCTCCATGTACAAATAAGGTTATATTTTGTTCGTTTTTTCTATAAAATACTTCTAGATAGTTGCTTTGTCATATACAAATGCAATGTAGTTCAAAGATATTAAGGAACCATGATAAAATAAGGACTGTTTTGGGATTTATAACCTTCTGATATTGTTTCCTCAACTTCCATAAAATCATATCAGGAGTAGACATTTAACATATCGGGAAAAAATAGGAAAAAAACAAGTTTTTTTCCGTTTTTTTCCAGACCATGGGAAAAATTGGAAAAAATGGGAAAATTTAAATATTTTTTAATTGTGACTTGAACCGTAAAAAATAGGTACCAGTTTTAAAGCTTTTTAAACATATTTTGTAAAAATAAATACAAAAAACATACTTTAATAATATCTAAGATATAAATACATACATGTATATAGGGTCAAATTATAATTATTATCTAATAATTGAAAGTATCAAAAACAAAGCTTCAAAGGTAGAAAACACATTATTTAACCAAAGCCCTCAGAGGTATATTTTCATCTGAGTCTGACTTTGAATCTTCAGACCAAGCATCTGATTCAGACTCGATCTCCGCTTCGTCTTCATGGACGGACAAAAGAGCATAATCTTTGCCAGTGTCTTCTAAAAGTGGAACTGGTCTAGCGTCGTAAATGAATGTCTGTTTTTCGTTTACAACCAAATTAGAATGAATAGCAACCAGCTTCTGAATTTTATCCTGTGATAATCTATTTCTTTCGCTTGTATGTACGAGGCCGTGTAAAGACCAGTTTCTTTCTGAAGAGGCGGAATATGGCGGTCCATTTAAAATTCGAGAGGCAATTGGCATAAGTGGCTACGATTTACACAAGCCTTGCCACCATATAACGGGATGAGTACTATTCGCACTATCCCATAAAGAATTTAGACTAAACAATTTCTAAATTGAGCTAGATTTGCCACCACCTTCCCTGCATCTAGATTTAGTGAACGAGCCATTTCAGAAATGAAGTCTATTGCTTCCATTAGATGGTCTTCATTCAATTGTTCTCCTTTAAAGCGAGCATCAAGAAGATTGGCTGCAAAGTGAATCGGCTTAGAACAAAATTCGTAGCGTTCTTCAACATATTTTAGCAAGTTTTCGATAAGAGAAGTAGTCAGGTCAACTTGTTGGGGAATATCTAATATTGTGTCTTTTATATACTTAAAGACAAAAGGCACTTCTGATAATATAGATCTATCCGATTCTACTATATTTATCGATTTTGATACAGGATGCAGGATTTGTTTAGTATATTGTAGGTTTTGCCAGAACGCATCATCCAATACAACTTTTTTAATATTTTGTTTTACATTCAGGTTTTCCACTAACATTGCAGAGCTTCCTTATTTCTTAAAAGCGAATCAACAGTTATAAACAGAGAAATGCAGCATAAAGTATGTGGTGCTGTTTAAAATATTTACAAATTTTTTTAGACTCTTTACTTATTTTTTCAAACAAATTATCTTTCATATTTAGTAGCAAATTCAGAGTGTGAGCTGCACAACCAACACAAGATATATGAGGATATGTTGTATTTATAATATGCCAAGCAGCTTTCATATTGCTCGCATTGTCAGTCACTATTAAAAAAAAAATTGTGGCCCTATTTCTTGAATAACTTTGATAAGTTCATTACTTATATACGTTCCCGTTTCTGTTGCAGTGCCACGATGAACAGTTTTGTAAAATAAAGGTATAGGCATGCATATAACAATATTGATTAATCAATCTCCGACTATATTTGTCCAACTATCTGTTACTATTGATAAATTATCGGATTCAGAAAGCTTTTGACTTCGGTTTATCTGTACACGTTCATACTCGGAATTAAGTTTGTTGACAGGGCGTAAGGGCTAGGTATTTGGTATGACGATCTTAACATTTAAAAAACCTGTTCACAATATTTATTTTTGAAAAAAGAAAAAGGAGCACCAGAAGCATAAAGAGCCCTAGCTAGTGCCTCATCAATTTTAGAAGACTCTGAAACAGCTATCTTATCGAAAAACCCGCTCAATGTTTGTTGGCAGCTAGCTTTCTTGCGCTTTACTGATGGTAATGGAGATTCGGAAGATGATGACATTGATGATGTGTCCTTTTTGCTACTTCAAGGGAGACTGGTATCTTCTAATGCTTCTAGCAGGATATCTTTGTTACTTTCTTTTTCTTCTGACGTCGAAGACTTCGAACTCGATTGTATTTCATTACCATATGTTTGTTTAATTTCCAAAGGGCATTTTGAACATTGGTTTAATATATGATTCGTCATGCGAGTTGCGTTTGGAAAGGCGTATTTAAAACAGCAAAACTTACACACAGCCTTGGATTTTTTATCTGTTTTTTCAATATCAAATAATTGCCAAATATCTGAAGAAGGTCGAACCATATTGTCCTGCAACAAGAAAAAAATACATAAATAAAATATCTTGCTGCACTGATCAAATTCTTGTAATTTAATGAGTATACAGATAATAATTAGGAATAAGGAAACTGAAATCCCACCTTCAAAACACTTAAAGCTATTCCAAATTTAATAAAATATTCACTTACCAGAAACCAAAACAAACACTTGGGTCAACAACACTAACAATGTTCAGAACAAACACACTCAATTATTACAGCAAAATTTCACTTTGTATTATTCATTTACTGCGCTTATGATAAGGCGAACTTAAAATGCGTGCTTTAAAATAAACAAGACGTGTCAATATTGAAGAATCTCATTCTCAACTGAACAATTCAGGAATACGGGGATTTACCGAAATGCCGTGTCGCTGTGCGTGATCGGGAATTAACCGAAAGCTGTAGTGGTCGGGGATGCACCGAAAATCGACGGGTATTTACCGAGAACTAATCCTTCAGAGCCGTAGCTTGCGGTTTTGATTCAAATTATTTCTGTTTGATTTATATTAATGGAAAAATCAGTAACCAGAATACTTTTATCTTGTATATAACAAATTTCAATTTTTCCGTATTTTTCCTTTTTTTCCTCAATTTTTCCGGAAAAAAACAGGTTTTTTTCCGGCAACCAATTTTTCCGGAAATTTTAAATCTCTAATCCGGAGCAGGTAATAATAATGTAGCTTTGTACTATTTAGCATGTTACTGAGAGGTAACCAGTGCAACTTGAATTTAAATCCAATAATTACATTGTAGTGTGTGTCACAAAAGCAGTTATCACTTTTTTCTATTCCAAATAGTGCGTGTGGAGCCTTCCTGAAATCTGTATTCTATGAGCAATCTTTTTATTCAATATGATGCAGTTATAGCCCAGTAAATTTTTGTTTCACCACAGATGATCAAAGTTGAGGAAAAAATATCATATATATATATACTAAGTGACATATAAATCCGAACACCCTGTTTATATGGTTTTATTTTAATAAAATTTTGTATAAGTACTTAATGAAGCATAATAAGTAAATGATAAAAATTTCAAAATGATTGCACTGCTTTAAAGCCCTTTGACCTTTAATAATGTGTGGATGCACCCTGATGTGCTACGCATTCTCCAACGCGCCTAGGCATGCTTCTGATCAGGTGGCCAATGTCCTCCTGTGGTATCTCATTCCAGGCAACCACCAACTCCTCTCGAAGTGCTTCTAGAGTCTGAGGATGACGTTGCAAATTGAGCAATCTCCTACCCATCATATCCCACACGTGCTCAATTGGGGATAAGTCGGGAGATCTTGGTGGCCATGGTAACAATGTGACATCATTATGTTGAAAGAAGTCTATTGTGACTCTTGCAACATGTGGTCGGGCATTATCTTGTTGGAAAGTTGGATCTGCCAGGGCGTCAAGATAGGGTAAAAGATGGGGTTCTAGAACTTCGTGGATATAACGCGATCTTCACGGTCTGTTGTTCTACGGCGGCGTCCAGTGCCCCTTGCTCTTTGCGTACGGCCTTCTCGAAGCCATGCCTGACAACACCTAACCACAGTGTCTACACTTCTTTGCACTCTAACTGCAATTGCCCGAAAAGAAAGTCCAGCTTCCCGAAGTCCCACTATACGGCCCCTAACAAACTCACTAAGTTGACGAAATCGTACAGGTCTCCGTACTCTAGGCATCGTAACCGATCGTAAAGGATGTCAAGAACCAAAATCCGCCAACGTTGATTCTTTACTGCGGCTGAAATATTCATTTTTAGAGCGTTAGTGAATTAAAAAAAGCAGTATAAAAACCGGAATGTCCAACTGATAAGGCTGAACATTTTTTCACTTGTTATTTACAGTAAGATAAATACATTCACCAACTTTTATTAAAATAAAACCATTTAAACTGGGTGTTCGGATTTATATGTCACTTAGTATATATATATATATATATATATATATATATATATATATATATTATAAAAGAGTTGTTTTCAAGTACAAAATGAATCTGTGTCGTATAAAAAATCACAACAAAACACGGATCTGTCTACCTGGTGTTGACGGATCTCACAGAATCATGTGTCATTTGTTGATATGGGGAGTTTGGGAATATAACTGGATAACCAGCTGTTATTCTACCGTAACAGATACTAGTGAAAAATACCGTGGTTTATTGTTTCAATTCAAATAATAATATAACCTAGAATGTCTACTAGGCGAAAAAAGAAAAATATTGCAAATTTTAGAGATTTTTGCAGGTTTTAGCATAACGACATATATTTGGGTATTTCTCAATCGTTGTAAATATTTGGGTGTTTGTTCACGGCCTGAGCAACAAAAAATATCCATCTTTATGGGTGTATGTATGGGTATCAAAAATCCTGTATGGTTTTGTACGAATATCAATCTAACATGCCATAGTGGTATTGATGAACGGCAAGTAAATGAATGAATGGTTGGAAATGAGCAATATCTATGAAAGGTAGAAAGTCTTTTGTCATCAAGTAGATGTGAAATGGCTATCTGTAAGAGGTTTATAGGAAGAAACACGTGGTAGGTGATATCAAAGCAGTACAATCGCGAATCAGTTGCAGAAAATAATAAACATGAAGTTTATTCAAAGACAATATTTTGTTTTCAATATTTCACAGGTTGTCAAAATTTGTCGAATGGATCTTGAAGCTCATTTGCTATATTTAACGGACTGTTCTTTTCTGCTACCCTATTGGTGGAAAATAATGGCTTGTTGATTTGACAATCTTGGTGAAATCCAACCTTAGGCCAATATAGTTACGACTTTTTTCAAAATTAGACGAATCATGTGTGGTTATAACTATTCGAGTATTATTACGTGTGGTGTAGTTATGAAAATCTGAATTGACTTGGAAGTTATGTAAAATCGATCTTTCATTAGTAGTTCTACCATCATAATATTTGGATCAGTCATTATATGATTCTTCTGAAAAGTTCTTAACAATGCACCAGTTGTCACTCCAGGTATTGCTCTCAATGCCATTCTCTACAATATAATATTTAGCTTGATGTGCCCCAAAAAATGATGCTATATTTTACTCTAGATAAGAAGAAATCATAACTTTTTCAGAACTGACTTGTCGAAGTCTCCAGAGAACAAAACATTTAGATGACAAGCTTTCACATAGTTTGCTTATGTGGTGCTCCCACTGAAGGGATGCATCAGCATATATACCTGAAAACTTTGCTACTGGAGCCAGCGACTTGGCATTGAGCTTGACTAAGTAGCTCTCATTAATTAAGGTATATGGTCATATAATTGGCTAGACACTGAGGAATTCAAAGTATATATTCTAAATAAAGAAACGACTATGACAAATCCTCATAGCTGATGCTATGGTATCTTATTTTATATCGGGTAATTTTTTGGGCGCAGGAATATAGCATTAGGTTGGTTATTTATCTTCTAATAGAATACGATAGTCACTGTTAAATACCCAAACACTCCGAAAATTTGGCAACCACGCATTTATAATCTTTATACACTGGCAAAACTGGTTGTAGCCTTTCCTCCAAACATTGGACATTTTTTCTTATAAAAATTAATTGTAAGAATTCAAAAGGATCATCGGCCTCGTATCTTTGCCTCTCCAGATTTTCATTATTTTTGAATAAATTAACGCCAATAAACTGAGTATTTAACTATCCAAAAACTACCACAACATCGTACTATTCGTCATGTGTTTGCCTTGGCGGTCCATAGGACCTTTGCCCATTTGTCACTGTCTAAAGTACGTTAGTCGAATCTGTCAGTCCTGGTTGCCCAGAAACCCCACAATGTCAAGGAAGAAGAGAAGAGCAAAGAAAAACAGAAGTGTATTAGTTTAAGAGGAAACACCTAGGCTTTTGGACTTGGTACACGTCTCATTTTGAGGTGAATTAAAAACAAACTTTGATTCAAGTTTTATCAGAGTGTAATTTTGGGTTCACTAACAGTTTACGATAATTTTTTGATCACAGTGCGAGCCGGAGCCTTGATTGTTTACGAACTTGCTCCACTGTGTAGTCCACTGAGTCACGCAACAGAGGGTTGCAGTGCGATTCCGCTTGGCAATTTGGAATTTTGTTTTCAACGCTGCTGTATGTTTCTGCCAGGTCATGCCTTTATCAAGGGTGGCACCGTGTACTTGGCAGAATTTCTCCATGGTATACGATTTCGGTCTACCGAAACCTCGGCTGTGGGCCGCCATGTCTTTTGGTACAATAAATAGCCTGCGTTTTCGAATGATTGCACCAGTACACGACTGGGCGACAAATGCAGCGTCGTCAGCGTAGAGATAGACTTCACAGTACACAGGATTGACCCTAGGACCGTGCCCTGAGGTTCACCGGCCCATATTGGCCGTGTTGTTGACAAAACATTGTTAATTTTGATCCGAAACTTCCTCCCTTCAAGAAAGGATTTCAGTAGTTTTAGAAGCGGGCAACCCCTTTTGTATTAGTTTATAGAGGAGGCCCGCGTGCCATATCTTCTCAAAGGCTTTTAAGACATCCAAAAGCGAGATGCCAGAACTCATGCTGGTTACATGTTCCACCAGCCTGACTGCCTGTAGCTTGGTGCTATGCTCGGACCAAAAACCGTTCGGAATCACATGGTGAAATTCTCAAGGTGGCGATAAATCGCCTTTTCGGCGAGCTTAGGAGGAGCTGACAGCAGACTAATGGGACGGTAATCCTGAGGAAATATCGAACCCACCTTCTTTGGAATCATGATGACCTCGTCAGTCTTTCACCCCGGAGGGAAGTGCTGGGTTCTGAGCATCGCATTGATTATTGTCACCAAATATGTCAGAGCTTTCGGCGAGAGCAGCTTCAACGCCATGTTGGTGATTTGATCCTCCCCAGGTACTTTACGCACCTTGAGGTCTTTAGTAAGACCTGGGAGCTCCGCTGTAGTAATGTAGAACCTCGGAGGGTTCCGCTAATATGTTATGCGAAGCCTCAAAAGATTATTCTGGATAAAATTCCTCTGAAAAGGAATCAGTGCCTCCGCTAACGCCTTTGGCCCTAAAATATCTTCTGACGGATCTTACAATATGTTGTTTTTCGTCGAGGTCATTATCAAGATCATAGTTGGGAGAGAACTGTTTTTCCATGGCGTCAGCGAAAACCTCGATCTTATCATCTGTTCTGAAGACTATGCCTTCAGGACCGTGGATGTGCGGGAGTTGTTCTCGCTTTCCGTTTTTGAGTGACCGCGACGCAACAGAGAGGAATACTTGAATCAAGCATTCCCGCCAGAAAGTCGTTCCATTGCTCATTACGGAATTCATGGAGCGCGTTTCTCACTTCATGGACAAGATTCGTAGGCCTACGAATGTCATCATGATGACAAGACCTTTTTGACTGTTTAATAGCGGCTCTCTTGTCAGAAATTTTCTGACGAATGTCCGTAGGCAAAAAAGGTCTGCCGTGTCGTACAGGAAGTTCAGCTGCACGCTGTAGAGCTGTTTGAATGAAACTTGTCCACTCCGCTTGAGCGGCATCTATTCCAGTCTCTTCATCTACGATCGGGATATAGGGAAACTCTCTAAGGAACAACTTGTATATCTCCCAATCAATGCGTTTCCTGGGAGGAGCTTCCTCCTCAGAAATCTGCTTATTGCCCACCTCCAAGACATCAGGTGGATGATCACTAAAGATATCATACAAGACTCGAGAAGAGATTCTGTATCTACAGTTTTTAGATATCGCGAAGTCAATGACATGTGGTGCCTGAAGATGATTGAATGGGTGGTGTGTCGCCTATGTTCAAGGTACCCATTTCGTGTCACATGGTTGTACAGTCGAATCCTACTCGTGGAATTCAATCTGGAATTCCCTGCTCGATGATTGCAGTTGAAGTCTCCTGCAACAATAAGCGGCCCATAGTAGTAGTTCATAAGGACTTCCAGATCCGCCTCTTGTAGCCTGGCACCACACCTGACTTGACTTGATATTGATGCAGAATACCCGAACAGATGAATAGGGCGGTCCGGTACAATTTCGAGGCCAGCCTGTTTACCTGACTTGAATCTACACGATTTTTTTTACTGGGGAGCGGTGAAAAAAAAAGTTCACTCAAAGCCAATCGAAAATTTATCTGAGGTATGCGACATAATAACGGAAGCAGCTGAATTTGTTAATAACGGAAGATTCGCCTGTCTGATGACCCGATCATTTTTAAGATGTTAAGCTGCTGCTGCTGAAGGAAGGCGGTTTGAAATTTTTTTGTGAATTTAATAAATACATTCACGAATTATTAAAACATTACTATCTGTCTTGCTCTGTCTAAGAAACAATTGGAATGGGTAGTAATGGGAACTAAAAGACCACCACAGGGTGTAGTTTTTCCGATTTTTTCAAGCCTATAATTTGAAAAGTACACAACTTGGATTCTTCTGATAGCTACTATATTATGACTTGGCCTATCCCTGTCTCCGGCTTGACGTCGACTTCCGGACACCCTGTATACACATCGTATAAAAAGGAAATACTACCACTTATGGGTATATATTGTTCTGAAAATGTGGTGTATGATCTTTGTTAAAACTTTTCAGGTGCCAAGGCAGCTCCAAAACCAACACCATCGACCTCAAAGGCAGCGATTAAACCAGAAAAAGCTACGGACCGAAAGGTTAAGCGGTCTTCAAAGAAGTAAGACCTCGCTTTGTCACAGTATATTTGTGTGTATATTTTAATTTTTTATATATTCAACAATCTCTATTCCTTAATTGTACTCAAGTATTAGATGTACATATCATAATGTTTTCAAAAAATTTTGTGCTATGTATTCTCGAAAGTTTGGATGGAGGAATTTTTTGAGGGGCTTATTCACGAATATTTTGTTCAATTTTTAGTTAACGGTGGTCAAATATAAAAATTAAAAGCGTGATTTCCTTTTATACGAAAAATTTCTCTCACCAGCAAGTGGCAATGTTCATAAGTATAGAGTTGACATTGAATTTAATACAATAATACATTGTAACTAAAGAGATATTTTACAACAATAATTTATGTAATATGTTATTATTGGGTATTATATAAATTCGACTTTATTTTTTTTGTAATCATTACAAAATAGTACATACTTCGACGCTTTCGAGATCTTCAAATAAAAGGAGCTATGTTGAACTTTCCCGAAGTGATTTTGTGCAAATATTGTGGTCAATAACAAAATTGTTACATGTGTATTTAGAGGGGTGGAGTATGTACTGAGAGATCTTAGGAATTATTTACAAGCTACTTTTAAATTGTTTCCAAATATTTGGACAAATTTACTTGTAAAATTTTGATTGATTTATCTTTCATATTAAAATTTTTGTGCTAAGAGATTTCTCATTTGTCGCAACACACTCAAAATGATTTTCTAGTGATAATGGGGAAGGTCTAGGTATACTATATTATGGTTCGGTATGGTTGACTTCCCTATAAATGCAAAACACTGGTTTATTTAGGCTTATATTTAAGAATCTTGTCTTTGTGTCAGTGATTTCATACTCAAGCTCTATAATACAGTATAGCCCTATGGACTTGATAGTACACTGCTGCCTAAAAATTACGATGAATTTTTGGGCGACTTTATTTGACCATAAGAGGACGACACACGACGTGCGGCGCTGCCACACTTAATCGTGTCCCATGGCTGACGCTGCGTAGTCATCCGCGAGGTACATTTTTTCAGTAGTCCATGCAAAGCGAGCTGTTGGGATGATCTGCCTAATGAGACAGATGCGCGAACTCTCATATTGTAGGGAGTCGCGAGGTGTTTTATATCAAGGTAATATGATTTTCTCCTTTCTTTGTTGATGACTTTCCTAGTTAAATGACTATGTTAACTGTAAGATGGCAGGCAGAGCCATAGAAACGACGTATGCCTCAGCCAAAATGACACAAATTGTGTCATATGGAAATGCCCATCTAAATAGTTCATATATTAGATTGGACAATTGGGAAGAGATTTATTTATAGTGGTGTATCTGGGCCTTTGCAATTCATCCTTGATTGCATGTATCGGAAATTGAAAGTACAAACTAAAATAATTGCCGACAGGATTTCTATTTATAAAATTGCGTATCCAGTGTTTCATGTTTGTAAATAATATAGGCTATTTTTTAGAAATTATACTATATAAGAGGAAAACATTTATAATTAAGATCTTGCTATATGACATTCTGTGGCACAAAATTTCATCGGCAAAGTAATTTGTTCCTTTCATATTAGTATTATTTAATAAAGAGTCTCCACATTATACAGAAAAATTCATAGGAGAACATGAACACAGTTGAAACTCTCAAAGAATAACCTAGTTACAGGGTAAAACTACAGTAGAGAATTTATTCTAGACTGTTTTGCGTAGCCTAGTTGTAAGTAATGGAAGAATCGTAGGAAAATACCCTTCAAGAAACACTAGTTATTTTATTTTATAGTACGCATCAATATTTTTCCTCGAGTTTGTTAACTTTTGCTACTCCAAAACAATTTTTGTGTGTAAATATTAAGGTATTAAGGTTTATCAAAAAATATAACGTAGCTCCTAGAATGACCTTACGGAAAAATGACACAAAGGTTGGTATTTCGACAACTTTCGTTTGATCACAGGGGAACATTTATAAAAATTATACAAGGTGTTAGTTAATAATAGGCTATAATTACAAGACGCATTTCTGAATTTACATAGAAAAGTATAAAAGTTCATATAAACATGAGTCCAAAAAATCTGGTTTCCAAGTTACAGGGTGACAAGGTTTACAAAATCTACAGAGGAAATATGTCCGTAACATCAGAAAAACATTACCAAGCAACAATCAAAGTTTGCTTTATTTTCTTTTAACAAAGCTTTGACGTGTAATGAAGTTTTTTTTTATTTTTTCTTCAAAAACGAAGTGAGATACGAAGACATCAAGAGACAAAAAAGTTGCATCATTTGCTGCTTATAAAAAAATACATGTTTCTTCTAAAAATCAGCGGCATACATTTGCTTGTAGTATCTTGGAAATCAGATTCTCATGGCAATTGTTTATATGAACTTTTCTACCTACATACGAGATCTGAAGAAATCTGAAATGTATTTCAACCTAATGCCTACTACAGTCATGCATTTCTTTTAACAAGATAAAATGTGTTCTTAGAGCAGGTATGTAATGAGAGTTTTAAATGTTATCAAGTTCCAGCTGCTTCTTTCATATACATCTATGCAGATTTTTGTATAGGAATACATTTCCCTACATTACTGCAGTATTAGAAAATCTACAGAGAAAACAGTGATATGTATATCGATTTTTGTTTGCAATTTCTATCACAACTGTCATGGGACCTCTCTTTATGACTGAGCAGTAATGCGTAGATGTATTTGGATGCTTATATAATAGAAATTAATTAAAATCTGGCGAGTACATTAATAGGCGACACGGATATGATGACCAAACATAAATATTCCAAACAGTACGACACGCATATTTTCATTTGTTTCTTAGGAGGTAGTTTATCTGTTTTGTGCTTAAAACATTTAGAGTTAAGATCAACAGAATGAATGTATGTGTAGTCTTGTGAACTTTGATCTGAAAAAGTTAGATTCTGGAATATTATTTAAAACATAAATGGTTTTTGAATAAATACTGAACATCTAATATAGGTATTTTATTTTCGCATTGTATTAGGTCCAGTAATTATGATATGACAAAACTTCAAATTCCAATCCAAAAGGTAGAAAAAAGTATTGATTGTGGATACACAGTGAGTGGAATGGATCGATAATTTTGTAATCACAGAATTTAAAACGGAACACTATGACCTAAACGTCTCTCGTCGTTTCTGTAATCCTGACAATTATTATAGCTGTATAGTCACATATTCTGTGACAACCACTAAGACGTTTTAGGGTTTATAATGCCATAATAGTGAATATTTGCTAATTTTGATACAAAACTGGATCACTAGGCGTCTAGTAACATTTTTCCCATCGTTTCTCGAATCCTCAGTTCTCATCGCACATAGACCTTTTCTTGCAAACGGTTCAAAACGAGATGGATAGTAACATTTGCTATAACAGAAACGCGAGACAGTATGAGAAACGTGCTAGCTCCTTATCAAACCGCTTACAAACATGTGCCCAACCAGAAAAGCGCTCCACACGGGTATTGTAGATTTTTTCGCGACATCCCGCAACAGATGGAATTTCCCCTTCATCTCGCAGTTTTGACAGTTTCAAGTTACACCGGGAGTGGTTAGATGGCGCATGTTGCGTAAAATGTTTGCTTTAAGCTCCTTGATAAACTTAGCTGCCTTGTTTAAATCTGAAATAAAAAGACCGATCGTTTTTTGTGCAATGTACACACACACACAAATATATATATATATATATATATATATATATATATATACAGGGTGACTTTGAAGTTGAGTCATTAATTTTCAGATAATGATTGTAGAAGGAAGATAAACCAAAATATGTGTGTAAAAATAAAAAAAAAATGTTACCTTGTTTTATAAAGTATCCTCCCGACAAGTATTTCAGTGCGGACCTGTATTTGATCGTGCGGTCTTGGAGCACCGGCATGCCCTCCCCTGTGAGGTCTTAAGTCACCTGATTCACGAGCCCTTTGTACTACATTAACAAAGGCACGAGGGGTTGGTTGCACTCGATTGGGAAACCGATCCGCATAAACATGTGCCATTTTTTATTTCGTTTGAGCCACGCAACAGACGCTATTCACACGCGACTGACACTGACTGTATGTATAACTGAACTGAATGAAATAAAAACATCGTTCCAAATTCTTTCGCTTTTTCGTTTCCCATGCGATGAACCGATAAGGTGGATTATATCCGTTGTTGCCAAACACGAGTACATGATATTATTATTGAAACAGGGCGGTACTCAAACTTCCAAAGGGCTATAACTTTTTTACTTTAATTTTACCAGAAAAATGGTAAAGGAAAAAAACATTTCTTTTGATCAGATCTACTCACTGTTAAAATAAATGACTCAACTTCGAAGTCACCCTGTATATATATCAATAAAATCAATCATTTGATATGACAAGTGCGGTTCATATATCTTGGATGACCCTCTCCCTCGTCATTTAAAATCAGGTGGACGTGTTCCTCCATTTATGATTTAATGATTTAAATCAATTTTCAGCAGTGCCAAGACAAATTTTCAATTGAGATGCCTGTTTTTTAAATCACATTGACATAAGACCGGTCACCCGCTAGTACCTCACAGACGTTAGGCGGGTACCCGTACCACGTGATTTTTTGACATTCGACGACGTCAAATCCGTCTTCCCCTATTCCCGTTCTTCGCGAAAATTTGAGCATCGGTTCCCGGTAGTGCACTGTGCTACACCGTGGACTCGCAAAAAAAATCCTTTAAGTATCTTGAAAAGTGAGGTTGAATCAATTTTTTTTACATTATACTGTTTTTTTGATATGATTTTAACTTAGCACTAGCTAATGGACACTTTTGTAAACTCGTTTTGTAGTTGTACGTGTTGCCTTAACGTCATGAGGCTCCAGTTATCAATGTTTGGCTATGGTGTGATGTAAAGTCTGCTTCAGAGAGGGCATTACTGGAGGTAACGACATAGTGAGGATTTGTGTAATAATATGTGTTGACGATAATTCCTTTGGATTCTTGTCTCAAATACACTTACTTGAGATTCATAGCTAGAAATTAGTTGCGCCTTCACTTTTTCTTATCCATTGTGGAAATTACATATGTAAATTTGCTGAATTTCAAAAATGAGATGATAAGAAATAATTATATTCACTGCACACTGTCGAATTACGTCATATGCATGCTAACAGTAATTAAACACAACGCGCGGTGGTGATTTCCCGTAGTTTTTGAAAACAAAATAACGTTAAAAACCGTAATTGATAACTTTGAACATACGCTGTCTTCCGAAAGGACAACCTATAAATAATCCGTCTGGCACAGCTAATAGATATACCAGGCGCGCCATCTTTTATGTCGGTATTGAAGCATCGAATGACTTTAATATTTACCAACCGAGTGATTTGGTTATACGTGCTTCTGAAACGTCAATTTACTACAATTTTAGTCATGAATCGCTTTACACCGAAACAACGCGCCGAAATAGACACAATGTACATTGAAAATCGTCGTTCAGTTGTTTTAACGCAACGTGCGTATCGTCGAAAATATCGTGGCAAACAGGCAACGTCTGACAACACTATCCGTCGTTTGGTTTCGAATTTTCTTGAGTACGGAACAGTGGGAGATCGTCAACAAACCGTTCGTCAACGACCAAGACGTTCCAATGAATTGGTTGAAGCGGTCAGAACCTAAAAGTGTCGTATCGTCACCGCTGTCATCCTTTTGGTATCAGTGGAACCATGTTGCGGCGCATTTTGAAGGATGATGCATTTGTTTCCTTATAAAGTGCAGTTAACAAAAAATATTGCCAACTGACCGTCCACGTCGCTTGTAATACGCTCAAACAGTCGCTCACATGGTTGATGCTGAACCTCATACTTGGAAGCAAATTGTGATGACCGACGAGGCCCATTTCACCGTCTCTGGTGGCGTTAATAAGCAAAGCTGCCGCATTAGGGGGACCGAAAATCCACATGCGATCCATGAAATGCCGTTCCATGACCGAAAAGTGACTGTTTGGGTCGGCGTTTGCGCCAAAACCACCATTTTTCTTCATCGAAAATGAAACAGTCGATGGAAATCGATATCGGTGGACGTTGGCTCATTATGTCTGCCCACAAATGCTTGAAAAAGGTCTTGATGGTTACTGGTTTCAACAAGACGGTGCGCCATGCCACACTGCAAATGAAACAATCCAGTTTCTGCAACGAAAATTCCCTGGACGTCTGATGTCAAAAAGAGGTGACATTGACTAGCCACCCAGGTCTCCAGATTTGACCCCACCGGACTTCTTCTTGTGGGGTTATTTGAAAAGTCAAATGTACGCCAGCAAGCCCCAGATCACTGAAGAACACACGTACCGCAATCGCCGCTATTCCACCAGAGATGCTCGAAAAAGTAATGGAAAACGGGCACGTTTTCTTTTGACCAATAAAGGTGGCCACTTGATAGATGTTGTGTTAAAAACTAGTCCCAATAAATAATTGTAAAGGACCATATTTAATAAAAATACTCGATATATAGAAATCAGTTTCTCGTTTTCAAAGTTATTTCATGTTTACATACCGACATAAAAGATGGCGCACCCTGTACTTCATTGGCAGCATATTCAGTAATGATTTTCTTACACAGCAAATATCACTGATTTTATAAACATATAGACCAATACACGCAGTCATCCGGATGCAATCTTGTTATTCAACCAAATTTCTTCTCAGATCTGAAAACTATAGACCCTCGGCTTCACAAGCCATGTGCAACCAACAATGCGTGTACGTGTAGTTGAGCCATTCCTCCATAGATGGACGCTCACATCGATCCTAGTGAACAAACGTGGAATGACTGTTTGCACCCTAAAAACTACCTAGTCTGCAAGATGACATCTTATAGGTTTTTTTCACGTTTACAGGTTTTTTACATAATACCCGTACCGATCTGCCAGTCTCGTTGTTAAGAGTGAGGAAGCAAGCCGAGTAACTGCAGGATCCAAAACTGCAATACTGCCACAATGTGTAAGCATTGACTTTTTGCTCTTTCAGAGGACTATACGCACCAGTTCCCATTGGGGTTTGATTTTCTTGTGGGATGCCTGGATAATGCTAGTCGAGTATACTTTACATATACTGAAAAGCAAGAGAGCAGCAAAACCACCGCACTAACAGTAGCAAGCGATGTGTTTTACTTCTCCCTTTTCAGTACCACACTAGAACACAACTCAACAAGACTAGAAACATGAGACTAAACTGCCTAAGCCTAATCCAAGATACGTATTTGTATGAAGCCAATACTGTCGGCAGGGGGTAAAACGTATATGCGAAATGTCATCCTCGCCATGAAAATTAAGGAAAGTGCAATACTGGATCGAGGCACTTAATGCTTGCCGAGATTCTCTAACTTTATCTAAATTTAAAAATATCAAATATGGCGGTTGTTTTGAGTAACATACAGATTCTAAATGCTATTGCTGTCAGATATATTTCGTTAATAATGAATATAAAATGTATCAGTAGCTGCGATGGTAAACGTGAGAAGTATTGCAACTATTGTGAGAGATCTGTAGAAGTTCAAGAGACACTGACAAAGTGTTACAAGTAGGCTGTGATGTAGTCGGTAGATGATTTAAAATTACGTGGAATAGTAATCTCATACGGGTATTACGTATCTTGGAAAGTGACGTTATATCGATTTTTTTGACAATGGTTTTTGTGACACTATGTAGGTTTGTCTACAAGATGTTAACTTAGCACTAGCTGGTGGACACATTGTGAACTCGTTTTGTAGTTGTACGTGTTGCTTAAACGTCATGAGGCTTCAGTTATCAATGTTTGGCCCTGATGTGATGCAAAATCTGCTTCAGAGATGGCATTACTCGAGGTAACGGTAACGCCCATGCATAGAGAATATTTGTGTGTTAATAATTTGTGTTGAAGATAATTCCATTGGAATCTTGTCTTACATATGAAAATTTGCTGAATTTCATAAATGAGGGAGATAAGGAATAAATAT